AATGCTTCCCATGGAATAGCGTGGTCTGGAGGAGGCTCTATAAATGTAAGGAGGTGGGCTGGGCAGAGAGGAACCAACTGCAGCTTAAAATACAAAGACTTCCTGCAAATGCGACTGGAGAGGGTGGACAAGAAAATCCGAGAGTGCTTTGAACGGGAATAGCTGCACCCAAAATAAGCTGTCAGTGTTTCACTTTTACTGACTCGAAGCAGCAAGCCAAAACCACTTAATCACTGGTTGTAATCAGGAATGTGGCTGTAAGAGCCTCCGGTCCCAGCAGCAGAGCTGATAAAGGATCGTTTCCTGTACTGCCACCTGTCTGATCACCTATTTCTGCCTCATATCGCTGCCCACTGCGATTTGTCAGCTCAGCAAAGTTTTGTAGGTGGAACTGTGAGCCAGGTCACGGAGGTGATCCAGACTGAAGGCAATCAACACCAGGCCAAAGAATAAACATGAGGAAAACAGTCGGAGAGAAGCAGGAACCGGCTTTTCCATGAAACCCAAATCACTCTGCAGTGACTCAGTTTCCCTGTGCAGAGATAAGCTTACAAGCTATCTGGCATCACCTTCCTGCACCACCCTGCCTTGCAGCATGGGATGCCAGCCTGCAAGGCAGCCAGGCAACAGAGCACAGCGGCTCCACAGGGACAGCAAATCCCTGTGCAAGGGATGCACACAGCATCCAGACAGATCCACTCCTCTGGAATCACAGCAGGAGGGGCCAGGCATGCTAGAAAGCCACGAGTGGCAAGGGAATACTGGGATCAACCCAATGTCACTACACTGGAGCCCATTCAGCCCTGGTGGCACCAGCTGTGATCCACCACTTGGCAGCACTGTGGCTCTCCTGGGATGACAGCCACTGCTCAGTGACCCTGGGGGGTGGGAGACCCAAACAGCTCTGCAGTGGGGCAGGAGGAAGGGAGCTGCACCCAGCGAGGCAACGCATGGGAAGGATGGAGAAACAGCACAGACTGAGAGCGCAGTGCCTGCTCCTTCTGCATCCTCCAGCAAGCAGGGCTCGCTGGAAACATCAGGAAGGGAAGATGAGAAGATGGAGGTGAGCTGGTGGGAAATTATCAGCCACCAGCCCCGCTCAGTGCCTACCCTTGCCAGCCACCCTGCTTGCCTGCTGCTCTGCTAACGGAGCATCTGCATCCTTCTGCCAGCTGCGTCCTGCCCCTGCGCAGGGACCAGGGATGAGTCTGGGTCAGCATCACTCTGCTGGGGCTCCTGCGGGGCTGCAGACCCTGGGAGAACACAGCACAGCTCCGAGCAGCCACATCCTGCAGCAGCACGAGGTGACGTCAGCCCGGCCGGGCGCTGGCAGGCAGGACACGCCATGCATGCAGCCTGGGCTGCTCCAGACACCGCCTGGCTCCCGCAGACACCAGGGCCTGCTACAGCTTATCTACAAATTGAATTTCACACTGTGTGCCCTCGAATCAGGCACAGGTGCTGCAGGATCCGCCCTGCCCCTCCGCATCCTCCTCCTCCTCTGAGGATGACTGGGGGCAAAGCTGAGGGTAAAACCCCACCGCAGCTGGAATGATGGAGCGGAAGACCACAAGGAACATGAGGGATGGGGGGTTGGCCAGCAGAGAGACGGCTCTGAAAATCCCTCACACTTGTCAGGACTCGAGGCTGGGCAAGCCAGCAGCAAGGAAAGAAGGCTGTTTAAATTTAATCCAAAATGTATGTTATATTTTTCCCTTGTAGCTTTCTCCTCCCCTGTTTTCTATCTTCAAGCATGAAAAGCGGAAAGCCTAAAACCTCTGGCAAAAATCCTTTAATGTGTTTTACTGTAAAGGCTGCCTAGTGTTAAGAAATAAGCTGAACCGGAGCAAATCAGGCAGCCTGTGGATGCCCTGGGAGCCGAGGATGGAGCAGGACACATGGTGGGCCGCAGGGGCAGCAGGGACAGAGAAGGGGACGCATCCTGCCCTCGGAGCAGGCAGTGCAGGGCTAGCAGAGAGGAGATGGGGAGAGGTGAAAATGGGATCTTGATTCCCCGTCGTGTACAATGAGCTCTGGGGCAGCAGAGGGGTGAGAATGCAGCTTGCATGAGACAGAGCACCCCGTGCCCTGTGGGACACCCTGTGCCAGGGGAACAGCTCAAAGTGGGGTGGGATAAGGGCTGCCCTGCTCTCCATGCTCCCTGCTGGCTCCCCATCATAACGAATCAAACCAAGGGCCCACCTTGCCCTGTGTGCTTTCTTGCTGTTCGTCTGAAGCACGGGCAATTTGCAGCTCAGCGGCTGGCCAAGTGCATCTCTGTGTATTTATCAGTCCTCGGGGAACCTCCTGTCTTTCTTGAACTTGTCCCATTTCTACCGGAGCCAACAAAAGGTTTCACTGTTCACAACACCTTGTTCTGAGGACTCCTGTGCCCCGGCAGCACGCTGCTGAGAGGCAATACCCCTCCTCCTGGTTTGCACCTCCTGCCAGCAGCATTTGATGTGACCTTGTACTCGCATGGAAAGAAACAGGGAGCAGTTAACCTCCATCCCTGCTCTGCTGGCCTCCTGTGATTCCTGTACATGTATCATATCCATCTTTTGTTGTTTCTTTTCCAGCCTGAAGAGCCCTGCCTTGCTCAGATGTTGTCAGCCCTCAGACAACATCTTGCTGCAGCTGCACCACGATCTTGGCACCTGAACACCCCGGTGAGCCCCCCAGGCCTTTGGATACAGAGACCTGAAGCAAACCCTGCCTCAGTCGGATCTCTTATCAGCCACATGAGCCCCAAAGCTGCAGCTTGTGGGCACTGCCTAAGGGCCCAGGGCAGGGTGAAGACAGACAGATACAAACAGAGCAGCTTCCAGCACTGGGACCCGGCTGACCCCATGGTGACCGACCCACAGGTCTCACTGCAGGCTCCGGAATGCTTCTCCTGCTCTCCACAATGTTACCTTCAGCAAAGCTCCTCCAGTACTCTGCACAGGAGGGACCCTGACACTGAAGGACACTCTCAGGAGCCCCCTCCCCATGAGCCCTGGGACCTCCCCATTCCCCAGCTGCCCCACACTTTGCTGCCCCACATGCCAGGCACCTCACGGGCTGTGCTCACAATGAGACTCGGTTTGGAGGCAGCAGATGTTTCTATGCTGCTCCGCATTTTGCAGTGTCAGGAGCAAGGCTTCCTTACCAGCACTCCCAGAGCTCCTCGCCAAGCAGCCCCAGCCCAAACACAGCTCCTGGCACAAAGCTTTGCTCTCACACATCCCCCCCATGCCTGCTCCCTGCAGCGCAGCCAACACAGCAAACACAACACAGAGCAAGGGCAGAGCTCCCACGTGCTGCAGGGCGAAGCACTGTGCACTGCACCACCTCCTCTCTGCTGAGCCCAGACAGTGCCTAAACCAACAGCACGGCCCTGCTCACCAGGGAACGCTTCAAGGTGGGTCCTGGCAGCTGCAGCCACGAGCTCTGCTGCCTTCCGTGCCTCCTGCTCCATCCCAGCTTCCCCGAGGGGGCTGAGCCATTTGGGTTCAAACCACCACCGCACTAGAAGCCCTCAGAGCAGAGCCTGGCTATCCCTGCCCTGTGCTCTCAGGCACCCATTGCTGCGCCCTGCACAGCCCCGGCATGGCACGCTCAGACTTCCTGTGCCTTGCCGTGAATTCCCCAGTTTCCTTCCGTGGAAAGCAGCAGGTTGTGCTCCACGTGCCCACCCACACCGGTTCCCAGCAGCATCCTTCCGTGTTCCCACGGGGACACAACACCAACAGGGACCGGGCAGCCCCCGTTCCTGTGCCCTCTCTCAAGGACTCACGCCCGTCGGAACTCCCCTGGATTGCATCCCTGCCCATCTCACACGGAAGGTCTGGAAAGAGACAGACCCAGCTGCAAGGTGCGGGGTGCTCCGCCGCCCCCCCGCCCCCCCCCCCCCCCCAGCGGCGCTGCCCCACACACGCGATTCGGGGCAAAGCAGGGCTGTGTGCAGGCGGACGGCGCTGGAATGGCACTGCGCTGCATCGGCTGCGCCCGGTGCTCCATCCGTTGCCCCCCGGCTCTGCCCCGTGCTGGAGAGGCGCGGAGCTGCGCGCCCGCAGGTGTCCAACCCAACTCCGCATGGAACCATGTACAGGTAACCATGACAACCGCACATGCGAGCGGCAAAGCCAAGATCTGGGCTAACTGCAAATGCAAATGAAGCAAAGACATGCACAGTGCTAAAAGCGTGACCTCTAAATGTCAGCGCTTCACCGTCGGGCAGACGTCGGCTCCGGTGGCTGCGGATCCGCTATCCGAGGGAGCGCCCCGCGGCTGGGATGCTCGGGGACCGAGGGCGGCACGGCGCTCCCCGGGGGCTCCCGCGCACCCCCGCCCCGTGCGGGGCGCTTCTGCCTTCAAAGGACGGGAGGAGAATCGCAGCGGCGAGGGGGCTTTGCTGGGACGGCCTCGGGACGGGGACGCCGCGCCACAGCGGTACCGCACGGCCCGGTGCCCGCACGGCTCTCCTTTCGCCACCGGCAGCGCCGAGCGCGGAGGGACCCCGCGCAGCTCCGCTCCCGCACACACGCGGCGGCCGCACCGCCCCGCACCGCCCCGCACCACGCGCTCAGGGACGGACGGGCGCGGTTTGGGGTCCCCCCGGCGCGGCGCGGCGCTGCGGGCGGTGCGGGGCCGGGATGGGGACGAACCCCGCCGAACCGAACCGCACCGCACCGCAGCGGGTGGGTCGGGCCGGGGGGGGCCGCGCAGCTGGGCGGTCGCACAATCCCCCTTTCAGCCCGTCGCCATGGCAACCCGCCGGCTCGCCGCGGCGGCTCATCCGGCCCCGTTAACCCCCGCCGTTACCGCCGCCGTTACCGCCGCTCCGCCCGCCCGCCCCCGCCGCGCCGCCCCGCACCGCGCGCAGCGGCACCGGGAGCCGCCGCCCCCCGCCCTCCCCCGCGGGATCCCCACCGCCCCCCCCCGCGGGTTCCCCCCCCCCCCGCCCCTCTCTCCCCCTCCCCGGTGCGGACCCCGCGGCGCCGTCGGGGCGCACTCACCGTCGGGGGCGGCGGCGCGGTTGGGCCATCCCGGGGGCGGCGGCGGCTGCTCCGCGCCCCGCGCTGCGCTCAGCCCGGCCCGACCCCGCACCGGGAGCGCGCGGCGCGAGCACGGCGGGGGCGGGCGGGGGAGGGGCCGCCGTCGCTGCACCCCTTCGCTGCCGCCGGCGGTACCGAGCGGCCCCGGGAGCCGCACCGTCCCCGAGCGCAGCGGGCGTCGGGATCGAGCCCGGCGGCACCGGCACCCCCGATACGGCACCGCCGCACCGCGCGTCCTTCAGCATCCCTGGGCGGCCCCGCAACGCCTCGGTGCCCCCTCCCAGTGCCCCCCGCACCCACCCCGGCCGGAGCCCTGCGGTGCCCGCACAGCCCTCACCCATCGGGGCTCCCCCTGGGCGTGCTGTCCCATAGCCAAGGGAGCAGCCCCCGCCCCTCCCACCTCCCGGGGGGGATCCATCAGCTCCCTTTTGGAATCCTCGCTTTCAGCCTCAGCTCTGGGGCCCGGCACGGCCCCCCTCCCACCCCCCCGTGGCAGACGCAGAGCTCCGGGCTCAGCAGACACAGCCCGCAGAGAGCTGTGCTCCGTGACACAGTCCCCCCAGCCGCCCCCATTTCCCTGCTGTTCCTCCTCAGCACAGGGCTGCTCCGTGCCACGCACAGCCTCCAGCAGCAGCCACGTTTCCCCCAGCCCACGGCGGGGCACCTTGCTGCTTCATTCTGCCTGATGGGATTACAGCAATCATTGGAAGCAGGGCACGGATTTGGGTCTCGCTGGGTGCGTCTGCCTTCTCCGCAGCTCTCTGCCATCGCCAGGGCAGCGTCAGCCACGGTTTCTGCTCACAGGGAAGGACACGCCATTGCCAGCAGACACCTCTGCGTGTTTGGGGCTGCCGGAGCTGCAGCCCAGACCTGGCACAGGCTCTGCAGAGCCGGCTGCCGTGCCCCATTCTGGATGCTTGTGCTCAGTGCAGACCTTTGTGGCAGCTCTCCTGCATGCCACTGCCACGTGCACAGTGCAGGTAGGAGCAAGTGAGGGTGTCCTGTGCCCCAACACTGCTTACAGATGGACTGCAGCTCACTGCACACAGAGCTGCCCTTTGTCACCCCATGCTTCAGCCTAGTTCCCAGCAGGACCGTAGTGCTCACACTCCCGTGTGGGCCAACAGCCCCAGCAGCAGCTTCAAGGCTGCTCCCTGCATCTCAGTGCCCAGCAAATCCCACCCATGGGGCTGCACCCCACCACCAGCATTGCAGTGCACAGGGAGTGCACGGGAGCTGCTCAGCTCCAGCAGGCAGCCATCGATTTTCTTGCACAGCACCACTTCTCGCAGTGCTGACAAGCTGCATGGCCCACAGGGGCCACAGCATGGGGGGGGGGGCACGTGGGGCAGGACCTGTTGCAGCCCACCTGCTGCCATTTAATGCAGTCGCTGCAGCCACAGGACCTGAGCACAGCTGTGCAGCATCACCCACCCACACACAACCCTCAGCCCACCGAGCTGCAGCCTCCTGCAGGCCCAGCATCACCCCCACACCGACAGTGTGTGATAAGCCCCCCCCATCCCCTCCGGCTGTGTCTTAAGCAGCATTTAGCCACGACTCTAGGAAGGAGCAGAAGGGCTGGAAGCTATCAGAGCTGCTTACAACCACCCCTGCTCAGCGTTAGCGTGCAGCACGGCCAGGGGGGCTGCAGGGCACGCACCAAGCTGGGCACAGCCCCGCGCCCTGACCCTGCATTCCCCGCAGCCTCGAGGCAGGCAGGGAACGGCCGCAGCCCGGGGCCGCCCAGGGTTCTGCCAGCACCTCCGCGCTCGGGCTGCCGCAGAGCCGCCCCGCTCCCAGCGCCGGCATGCAGCGATGCAGGAGGCAGCAGCCAAGAGCCGCTTGGCGCAGGCTCAGCCGCCTCCCAGGGCCGGCAGAGGAGGGGGCCGCGGGCAGCAAGGAGACGAGGAGAGGGGGGTTCAGCCTGCCCACTGGCAGCGCCCAGCTCGGCCACGCTGCTGCTCTCGCGGCCCCGGCAAGGATGAGGAACGGGGAGCGATCCCTCCCGCCCCAGCCCTCGCGTTTTCCTCGGTGGCACCGCGGTCACGCTGTGGGCGAGCGGAGCCCCAGCAGGCAGCCGATGTGCGCCCCGAGACTGATCCTCATCGAAGGGGACAAGCGGCGACGAACAGAGGAAGTCGCCCTGCTCACAACCGTCCGTTCTCGTTAACGAGGGAGTCCGTCTCCATCAGTCCCACAGCCAGCAACGCTTTCCAGCCCTATGCAGAGGTGCAACGGGGCAAAGGGGGGGTGCGTGCCATGGAGCTGGCCTGGCAGCCCGTGCTCGCAGCAAGGGGCGCCTCCAGCAGTGGGCGCAGCCCAGCTCAGCCTGGGGGCTCTGTGCCCCTAGCCGCTCCCCGGGGCGTTCACTGAGCACAACCGAAGGCTCAGCCCCCCCTTCCCTTCCCTTCCTTGCGGCTCACACAGCCTGGCACCTTGCTCATCTTCACCCTGCTGTGGCCTCCCCTACGTGGTGCAAATGCACCTCATCAGCTTGTTTTTCCTTACTTTTGAGGTCCAACGGAGCTCTTTAACACACTGTTGCAAGACTCACCAGATTCCACCCACCCAGAGCAGAAGAAGAATAACGGTCAAGAAAACCCTATCAGAGCAACTGCAGTTTTGCTGCAGAAGAACCAAGGAGAGGAGGGTGGTGGTGGGGGTGGTTTTCAGGTTCAGAAGACAGCAGCAGGGCAGGGCACTTGAGCTCCAACTAAGCAAAGCCCAAGCAGCCTGCCACACACTGACAGATGAGACTCCACACCAGCAGGCTGCGTTAGCTGGGTCAGAAGTTGAGAATCCAGCACTTTAGCCATCCAGAAAAAGCACTTGGGAAGGAGCTAACACTGGAGCCGTGTGGGGCTTGTAAGCAGAACTGTGCTGAGAGACGGACTGTTCTGAGCACACCGGGGCTGCAGCTCCTCCCAGTCTTGCAGAACACCAGCTCTCATCACTGCTATGCCTGGGAAGCTGGGCTTGGGAGCACACAGCAGCACTCTGGTTTACCTTCCTCTTAAACCTCTGGCCAGTGGCACATGCCATAGACTGCAAGTAAAGCTCTCCATCAGCATACGAACCCTGGGGAGTTTGCACAAACCCTAGCAAGCACGGGAAACTTCAGCTTATGAAACAAATAGGGAAGAAAGGCTTGCTTTCAAGACCCAAATTGCTCTGCTTCAGCAACACACCCATTCACAAAAGCAGAAAATGCAGACTTCAGTTCTACCGAGGAGGAGACAAAGACCATGTGCAGAGGTGGTGCCGGGATGCACTGGGAAGCTGGGAGGAAAAGCAGGCTCTGAATACACGCTCCTTTTGCAAAGTAAGCTCTCTGTATTCATCCGAGAATGTCTGTAGTACAGGGTTCATCTGGTATAAATAAAGTACAAAATTTTACAATGTCTTAATCGTTATTTTAACAAAAATACTAAAAACTGAGTAAAAACTGAAACCGAAGTGGGAAGGGAGACTATCAGCCACAAGGGATCTCCAGAAACGTTTGTAGAAATCGGATAGTAAAAACATTTCCTCTGTACAATAAAACCATCCTCCTGGCATCTGCCTGCGAGACGGGCAGCACAGCACAGGGCACAGCATGAGAGCAGGGCTGGCAGCGGCCCCAGGTCCCAGGTCTGGCTGAAGAGCTGCATCCAAGCCCACGGTGATGTCTGCATCCTGGTCCGGGCTGCAGCGCTGCAGGTCAGTAGCGCCCAAAGGGGTTGTTGTTCTGCTGGGGTTGTGTATCTGCGGACAGCAAGAGTTACAGTCACAAGGTTTTGTTCCAGCAAGAGGATTTCCCCTCCCCACGCCAGCAGTGTGGCTCTGAGGCCCTGTCACAAACACAGGATATCCCTGTGCTGCTGGTTTGCCTGAGGCTTTAGCTCAGAGCGCAGTCAGGACCCCATTTTCTTTGAGGAAGACAGACCTGCAGAGCACCTGCAGCCAAACAAGCTGTTCAGACAGCTCGTGTCAGCTGGGATACACCCAGAAACCAGACGAGGTGAAGGTTTTACATGCTGACTCCATAACGGCACCCAGGTGCAAATGAAAGACATGCCCACAGGACTAAGAGGTGGCACAGAAGGGGCAGGAAACACAGCGAGGTTATCCTAAGAACCTCATCAACTTCCAAAGCTGATGTGAGCAGTGCTGTATCACAAAACAGAGCAGCTGGGTGCTGTGTGATTAATTAACAAAATCCTGTGAGGGTTTTTTTGAATCCCCATCAGCAAGCCTGACACTGCAGATGAGTAAAGATCAGTGCAACCAGACCAGCTCACTCTCCTCCCCAGTGCTGCTGGACAGAAGCACAGACAGGATCACAGGCAGAGCCTCCCAACCCAGCACACCTGAGCCCAAGGTGCTCTTTCTTCTTGCTGCTCTCCTATGAGATGTTCTTGGTGATGTCCTGCTTTCCACTGCACCCCAGACACCGTGGATAAGAGCTCCAGATGGCTCTTGGTGGAACCAATGCAAACCCACTGAGGTAGCATGGAAGCTGCATGCTGACACATGGCTGCATTGGACCCACACATCCGTTCCATATAAAACCCAGCTCTGCTCGCTGTGCAGACAGGATGCAGAAATATGGCTATTCCTTTACATTCAGATGCTTAAATGAGATCTTCTTAGACTTGAGTGTCCTGACTGGGATCCTCGCACAGACTCGTGGTTTGTGAATCAGGCTAGTAGCAAACTTAGCACATTAAAACTTCTGTTTTCTCTTTTTTGTCACAGGGACTGAGAACTTCCTGTCAGGGAGTGAAGTGTAAGTACCAACACTTGGCCATTATCTCTTGCAGACATTTGTCATGTGTGAACCCTATGGGGAAAGAAACACCTCCTCCCTGATCGTAACAAGCCCTTCTCAAGCACAAGCCTGCTCTGAGACATAACCAATTTAAGCAACCGAATTAACCAAGCAGATAGATCAAAATCTGCCAAATGTATTTCCAGTTGACACTGAGCTACAAGCATTCGCAGCCTCGGCTGCCATAG